GGTTTTGATGAGTATGAAATGAGTTGATGTATATCAAGTGATGAGAATAGTGTCTAGCACATAGTAATACTGTACACATTAGCTACTAGGGTGGTGATAATGTTTGCTTCCTCTCCTTTTCTTCACATTTGTAGAAAAATGAGCTTGCTCACAATTGGATCATTCACTTCTTCAGAAGAACTAATCCTCCAGACCAATGTTTTGTAATCCAGCATATCACAGCCCACTGGGGGCCATCCAGCCTGCCACCAGCTTTGTGCTTAGGTTTTCCCAGTCTCTTGGAAGCAGGACATGAAATTCACCCTCCGTTCAGTAGTGGTAATTGTTTTTCTCTGGTCATCCTGAGGTGATTTATTACTAGGTGCACCCATCTGACCCTCTCATAACATTTTTATCTATTATATGTTCCCAGAGAAATGGTTTTTTAATAAACCATTATCAAAACAGCATCATTGTCACTACTCACTCCATGGTGTATTAATTCAAAAACATTTGTGGGCTTCTAATTTATATGTAGTATTGTGATAGAAGTTGTGGGGAATAAACATAAAGAGGACAAAAAATGAAGAAAGTATAATTTAGTCAGGAAGATAATAAATGCATAAGAAAAGTTAGCATTAAAAAAGAACAGTAGGAAAGAGCCAGGAGGACTTGGACAGTAGACCGAAAACCTGCCTTGTGTCTTGGGGAACACTTGCATAGAAATATAGAAGACATGAAGTGTGCAGGCTAAATGGTAAAGGAAGAATAACTGATATATTAAAAGAAACCATAAATACCGCCGCCTGCCTCGCAAGCACAAGATTCCGAGTTTGAACCCTGGTACCAAAAAAAAAAAAAGAAAAAAAAGAAAAAAAAAGAAAACATAAATAACTTAGTTATACTGGAAAAGACAGTTGTTATTAAGAAATAATTGAATAGCAAGTTGATAAGACAGGAAGATATACAATTATGTGGAAAGAATGAAATTTGTGTGAACTTTGAGAATTAATGTGAACAGCATATTAATTGAACCCATGCATTAAGCATTGACTAAATCTCAATGGGAGGCTTGCTAAATGGAGGGCATTAGGGATCTGGCTGGTACATCTCTAAACTGCTGGCCTTGGAACCCCCTGAAAAGAGAAAGGAATTAAGAACTTCATTTTCAAAGCCTGTCGAGCTTAGACACACTTGCTTTTAAACTCAGCTCAGCTGCTTCTTAGTTGTATTAGTGACCAAGCTAATTAATTCTCTGATCCTCAATTTCCTCATCTGTAAAATGGTGATAATGTTAATAAGAAGATGGCACCTTCCAAATGCATGATTAAATGAGATGGAAAATTTATGTAAAGTGCTTACACATTCAAACATATAGTGGGTACTTAATGGATGGTTACTAATAATAGCACTGACAGAGTGTGCTTCAGCCAGATAGAGAACTTCAGTTTTATTTTTTTCCATATTGAGATGCTACATAAAATGTTAACTAATGTTCCACTTCTTTAAGAAAAAAGTTGGAAAAATACTCCTATACTTATTTTTAGCTTTACTACTGTGAAATGACAGTGCTTCTAATTCTGGCTGTGAGATCTAGTAATCCTTTAAAAAGGATTACATTTTGAACATATACACCAAGAAAGAACTGAAATCTGATGTTTGCTAAGTTCCTATTTTTGTTATAATTAATATATTTTACAAAAATTTTAAGGATAGAAAGCAAGAGTAGGGAGAAATGAAGAATTCATCAGAAAATTAAGTGAGAGTTCTCATTAACCAAGTGTTTAGGAATAGAGGTTTTACTGTACCAAGAATTTCTTGCTTGTTCTTGTTCCTCAAATGTGGCAGTCAGTTTTATTTTTAAATGCTGACATAAATCCATTTTAGTCTTTCATGTAATGTAATATATTGAAAAAATATAGACTGAACAAAACCTCTAAATTAAATTTCCTCTGTACCATTTTCTAGCTTGTATCATCTTGAATAAATAATATTCTGAGTCTTGGTTTCTGTAAAATGAGGATAATCATAGTACTTACTCTGCATATTTCACAAAGTATTTGGGATTAAATAAAATAAACTCTGAAATATGGTTCTCCAAGTGTGGGCCATCTCTGGGGGTATCCCAAATCCTTATAGGGAATCCATGAAATCAAAACTGTTCTTGTAATATTACAATATGATTTGCCTGTTTTGGTAGATTAACATTTGCGCTGATGGTGTGTAAGCAGAGGCAGGTAGACCTCACGGAACCTCAAACTAGAGGTACCAAACTGTCCTAAAGTCACTACTTGTATCAAACCTTGATCCTGAGTTTTTCATCATTGGGAAGAAAGGGGAAGTACAAATAGAGGATTTCTGTTGCGTATGACGATTGTGTTGGGGGGAGAGCACTGATGAGATTGAGTTGTAAACTGAACTAACTGAGTGTTTCATGGAACATCATTTTGTCTTGACAGAACAATAAACTATGGTTATTCAGACTTGAGTACCAGGCAGAAGTTTTCTGGAAAATAAAGTCAGCCTGTCATTTATAGAGAAATAATGGACAATGTTTGAAATAAAATTTAAGCTTTGCAGTGAAAAGAATTTTAAAAACTTGCATCTTCCACTGTGAAGTTGGTAGCTTCCGAATATTTAAAGACTTAACCCAATGGGCTTGGTGGTGATACTAAGGAATGTGATTTTCTGGTACCAAATAATGAAATGTGTCAACATTTGGAAGATCTGCATAATTCTGATATTTTTCGAGTGACCATTGCATGATGTTAAAACATCATAGATGGGTAAAAGACGGATGAATACGAGGACAAGATAGACCAATAGATTTCAGTATAGCAGTATTGAAAGTTCTTTGGTATAGTTTCAGATACTGCAAACCCACTTAACCATTAAAAACTACCACTTGCTGAGTTTCGGTGTAGTATCGAAGGAGAATATCCACAATTATCTGAAAAGACTACTAGAATATTGTTCCCTTTTCCTACTACTTATCTGTATGAGGCCAGATTTTCTCCTATACTTGAACACAAACAGTGTCACAGGATTGAGGAAGTAAAAGTGAGAATACAGAGCACTTCTCCAACTAATCTTTTTGCTTTGGAAAATGTAGTTATATTTTAGAAAAATATTTTTGTTATCAAATAATGGATTTATTATTATTTTAAGTGGATAACAATATGCTTAAATTTTTGCCTTAAATTCCTAATATAGTGAAAAATCTATAGACAAAAACCATGTAAACAAAAGCTCTTTGGGGTCCTCAGTAATTTTTAAGAGCTTAAAATGGTCCTCATACCACGAAATTTGAGAACAACACTTTTAAATTAGTAAAGTTAGATTTGCTTAAGATTGTTTTGGTTTACCAATGCATGAGATTGCCATCTCGTGACAAAATAGGGAAATGCAGGTATTTTGAAAAGAGCTTTTTTACGCTTTGAGTGATTGCTAAGCACTGCTTGTTGGAAGTTTATGGAACAAAGAAATGCATCAGTTCAGATTTCCAAGGGATATGTCTTATGATATTATGTGCCCAAAATATTTATTTTCAGAAGGCAAACAGAAGCCAATTAAGGGCTCATAATTGTTTTAGAGCAGTGTCTTATTTAGGACATTTTTAGTTTTTATGCTCAATATGTGTGTTTCGTAGTACACAGAGCCCCTTTGCTATGTTACAGGCTCAGGAGTGTATCTATACTGTTTGAAATATGGGGAAGTGTTTATGGTGGTGTTTTACTTTGGTGGTGTGTGTGATCACCTGTGAGTCACTGAAGGGTCAGTCATGGTTCAGTAACACAAAGTCATAATAGTGTGATTACCCTGCCTCCCTATTAGGGATTGAACCCAGGGACTTTACATGGAACTACATCTACAGCCCTTTTTATACTTTATTTTGAGATGAGGTCTTACTAAATTGCTCAAACTCCTGATTCTTCTGCCTGAGCTTCCCAGAGTGCTGGGATTACAGGTATGCACCACCATACCTAGTTTATGATCAGTTATGCTGGTGAAGAATTGGTCACCCTTAAATACTACATTCCTGCAGTTCTGGGTGGTATTTCCCACACAGACATGCAGAGTACACATTGTTCCCTCCCTATACTATACTTTCTTGAGAATTGAAACATACAGTGTAAATATGCACAAACATGTAGGGGACATACATACAGGCAAATGGAGCTTCAGCCGAGCCAGGAGAGATGCAGCTGGAAGAAATGGGTTTATGAATAATGAACATTTATGCTACAGAATAGCTTCAGTGGGTCTGTTTTTGCATCCACAAGCTATGTGAAAAGGAAGGAACTTCATTTTCATTCAGTTAGAATGAAAGCCCACTGGCCAGTGTTTTGGCTGAATTTAGCTGATTTGTTTTCAAAATAACCTGTTCTTTTCACACTGTTGTTTGTAGGGACAGCTGCACCCAGATAAAATGACTGTGAGCCTATACGCTAACTACTGTACTAATTTTCTGCCTATGTTCACTCTGTGCCCAGTGACCCCACTAATGAATATTTTAGACATCTGTATGAAAAATCAGGCTGCCCATAGGAGAGCTGCGAGCTTGTTTTTAAGGCTGGAAATGCTATCAAGATGATACGGACTCTGATTCTGTGTATCAATGTGAAAATAATAAATACCAAAGCAAGAGCTCTTAATCTGGATTGTCTTTGAGCATCCATGGATACTCTAAAATTGGATACTGAATTTTACTTACAGTTGAATGGGTGTATGTTTTTGAGAAAACTCCAGGGCTTTTATCAGACTCTCCAAAGGGACTGTGACCTCATAAAGGCTAAGAACCACTAGATAATGGTTGATAGTTTTGAAAGTACTTCTCCATACATTTCTCCCTCCCTCCCTCTCACTCTCTCTCTGTCTCTCTCTCTCTCTCTCTCTCTCTCTCTCTCTCTCTCTC